GCTTGGTCTTTGGGATCCTCATCTCGTGCCTGAGCCTTTCTGCCTGAGCATCTGCTGTTCTCCAGAACTTGGTTTGAACTGCTGCCCTTCGCTGGCTTTCCAGGAGGGGGATGTTTGCTGCTTTCATCTCGGAGCCTTTGTTGGGATTCAGAGCTGGAAGGGCTTGGCTGTATGTTCTACCAGAGCTGCAGGCCCTGCTAAACCCACATGTGCCTTGTCCAGGAGAGCTCTTGCAGTGCTGTGGCTGCTTGCCTGATTAGTGCTGGGCTTTTTTTCCGTTTCTTTTTTTTCCCCCCACTCTTTTCTTTTTTGTCCAGGGATTAATGCAGCTTGCTCCTCACATGTCAGATCTGCCCTCCTAGGACATTAGGTAGTGCGTTTTGCTTTGATCACCTTCTGTTGAATTTCCAGGAGCTTTTGCTCTCCACGGGGCCAAGAGATCTCAATGCAAAGAGAGGGGAGGTCAAGCTGAGCTGCTCAGTTCCTCCAGTTGTGCAGCCACTTGTGCGTGCATGTGCTTGAAGCTGATGAGCATATGGATGGGTTATCTCTCATCACTCAGCATTTAGGATCGCGGCTAGGATTGGAGCTGAAGCTTGCACAAAGTCTTTCCTGGTGAGTGGCCAAACCACACCTCCCTCATGTGTGTGTTGGAATTAAGGAATTTCTGCTCGGTGTGCTCTGGTTTCGAAGGGCTGTGCAGGCTCTGGCTGTTTGCTCTGGTGGGTTTCAATGTGATTATCCCAGCCAGAGCCCTGAGCCCACCTCAGGTGGGAGCACAGCGGTGCCAGGCCAGGCTGGTGCTCGCAGGGCAGAGCACCTGGAAATCCCCGGGCACGGAGTCACGGCCAAACCTGGCAAACGGGAGACAGCAGGAACCGGACAGGCTGAGAGACTTTGTTTGGCCCCAGTGCCGGTGATGGACAGGAACAGGAGAAGTCAAGTGAAAACACAGAGTTTGCACCTGGCTGGGGAGCAGGCGCTTGCAAACTGCTGGCTGTGTATCTGGAGCCCTAATACAGGGAATATTTTAAAAGCAGGACCTCCCTCTTGTCCTCCCAGGCGACTCCCCTCCCCTCTGGGCTGTGGTGTGGTTAAAACTGGCCTCCCCACGCTGCTGTGCTGGACCTGGCCCCATGCTCCAGGAATTCCAGCTATTATTTATACGCGTTTCTAAATTTATCAGGCACGACTTTGTGTACACAGAGAGCGCCTCTTCCTTTGCTGTGCCGCCGGGGTAACGTGGCTTTGCTCAGCCCAAGGTGGACTCATCTGCCTCCCATTAGGCTCCAACATCAGTGGGACTGGCCTTGCTGGGGCTTGCAGATGGCCTTCTGCTGGCTCCCAGTGCTTCCTGGCCTTTGAAAGGACCCGCTGGTGCAGCTCCTTGTGTGTGAAGTTATTGGAACCAAGATTGGCTTCAATTATCAAAGTAAATGATGCCATTGTAAAGCTATGCTCCAAGCAGTGTTCTACAATTAGAGTGTGGAAGCTGTGATTAACATAGTTGTGTTAAAATATACTTTTTTTTTTTTTCAGGTTTGTGCATGTGTGGTTTTTTGCCCTTTTTTTTAATGTTTTTAAACCCATGGTTGCCCAGTGATGTTTGTCCCAAGAAAATACTTAATGAGATTCGGTGCTGCCTCCAACTGCTCCTTGTACAGTTTTTCTCTCCGTGTAAAAGTCTGTGGTTTGACCTGTTCAATTGCTTTTATTTCTAAAAGCAATCTGACAATAAAAAAAACCACCCCCCACACTTAGAAACTGCACCCTCATAACAGGGGATATAACCAGGAGCCCCTCTGAAATTTTCATGGCATTATAATACCTCTGATATGGCCATTGCCTAACATAGCAGAGAGAGAGAGTTACATGCTGTGTGTCATCGCATCAAGATAAGAATAGGCTGAGAAACATCAGACATTCTCCTTGAAGCTCCAGAGCAACTGCTACCTGACAGCTGAAAACACTTTGCATATTGAGTTTGGAGCTGGGCTGTGTTTGTGTGTGCAGCATCTGTGGCAGGAGACCACCGCTTTCCCTGGAATTTAAAACCCTTGCAGGCAACTTGATGCATCTGGGTGCAATTACTGGAGTAAGGTGGTCAAATTAAAAAAAGCAGGGTGGTGGTGGGGGGGGGAAATCCAAAAACATTAAATGTAGCAAAACAGCCCCCACTGGTTTTCTGAAAGGATAGGGAGAATTCTGTGGGGCGGTGAGGGCAGGACTTTAAAAATATGTCAGCTTTAGGGGTTATTATTTTTTTTCCTTGTCCACGAGGTGTTGGTAGGTGAGTGATGCTGCAGTGCTGCTGGGAAGATGAGTTAGTTCCGGCCACTTTCTCTAATTATATGTTTGGACACACCTCCCTCTCCCTGTGCCATAGCCACACGGACCTGCTGCCTCCGCCCCCAGCTCAGCCTCTGCAGGGATGCTGCCGTGAGAGCAGCGTGCCAGATCCACCCCCTGGGTGTGACAGGGGTGACAGACACCTCCCAGCAAGGTGCTGGTCCTGTGCTGGGGAGCACCTGCACCCTGAGCCTCGTGGAGCATCCTGAGCCTTGTGGTCCTCAGATGCACTCTCAGGTGCTGAGATGGTTTCAGATCAAAGAGTGGGAAGAGCTGCATCCCTCACATGTTGACCCAAAAGCCCAGCAGGGCCCTAGGAAGGGTCTCTGGGACTGCACATCCCCCTGATCCAGAGCAGAAGACTCCATGGTTTTTAGAGGGACTTTCTTGTAGTAGCAGCAGGAAAACTTTGTTTTCACCCACATGTGGAATTCATTTGTCTTTGAAGATTTAACTTCTTTCCTGTGGCATTCCTTACTATCTCATTTTTTTCCCTTCTTCCCAGTTATATATTTTTTAACATCTTGATCTCCCCATCAGAAATGCCTTGGCCTCCTTGGAAAGGAATGCAGGCCCGGCTGGGCTGAATACCTGCCTGCAGCCAGCCCCACACTGCTCATACCAGAGAGGCCCATCTTCCCCACCAGCCTTCCACCTCCTTTTTTCAATTTTTTTTCCCCTTCCCCTTATTTTTTAAAAACTTAAGCCTTGCTGAGGCTCCTGATTTGTTGTTGGGGGAGGAGGGATGGGGTGATGGGGGCACAGGGATGAGGATGGAGATTGAGAGGGGGCAGTGGGAGGATGTTGCTGTCACTTCAACCCAGCTGGACCCTCCAGCCCCAGGGGGCAGGGAGATGGAAAGCCCATTAGAAAAAACCTGCCGAGCCTGCTGGCACATTCCTTAGGCCCCCAAGTCCTGGGTAAGTGGCCCTAATTATTAAAATCAGCAGTCCTTATCAGATGACATGGCCTTTTGCTTTGATATACAAAAGCAGAAGCTTAACAACCCCATCTTGCCCTGGAAGAGGAACAAAATGTGCACCTTAACATGCAGCTTCCAAACCTCCCTGCATAATCCCCTTATCACCTGCCAGGATATGTGTATTGGTCCTGGCTGGGAAGTTGGAGTGGTGGAGGCAGCGGGCAGGGGGATGCCCGGGCAGGGGGATGCCCGGGGGGCCCCCCATGCAGTGACCCTGCCATGGTGACCTGGCCCTGCTCCATCACAGCCTGTGTCACAGAGCTGCTCCTGGGTGCTCAGCTCAGACATCCAGGCTGGCCTTAGGGTTTGCTTTTCTAGGTGGGGAGGTGTTCGGGTCAGTAACCCACGTGCCCATTAATACAGATGTGCTGGCCTCTCCTCACATCTCCATCCACCCTCCTCTTCCCCACCCAACTCTATGCCAAAAAACACCAGTAGGAGGTTTTGCTAAAAGCTGGGCTTTTTGGTGTGTGTTTTACAGTGGCAGTGTTTTTATAGTGCGTCCAGCCTTGGGAGGCCAGGCCTGGGTCAGCAGATCTCAGCCCTGCCCTGTCCCTCTGATGTGTGGGGGTCCTGCCCTGTAGGTCCAGGCAGTTCTCCTGGTTCAGGCAACAGACACCAATAACTTGTGTTTCCAAAGGGATCCTAACCCTTGTCTTCAAAGTAGAGCTAAACATTGTTGGCTTCCTTCTTGTGACTTTCAGTGGGACTTGAGCTGTGAACTCCTTGGACTTTTCTCTGCTGGTGCCAACAGCAAAACTCCTGCTGACCTCAGCAGTGTAGTACCAAGCCTTAAGGCCTGAGCTTTTCTGGGTATCAAAGGATGCAGAGGCGCTTCCTGGGATTTTCTAGAGCACTTCAGAAGACACTAAAAGTCTTTAAGGTTGTGCTCTGGGTGTGTTTAGACGGAGTGTCCTGGTTTAGGCGGTGTGCTGGCTGAGGTCTGAGCAGCAGATGGTTGGTGGGCTCTGAAGAGGTTGAGCGTGGTTCCCATAAGGATGGTGCTGCCGTGTAGCCCAGGACTGGTGGTAACTGGGATCCTGTTCTGCCTGTGCCAGGTCCTTCAAGAGGAACGACCCCGTTAACCCCTACCACGTGAACTCGGGCTATGTCTTCGCGCCGGCCACCAGCGCCAACGACAGCGAAATCTCCAGCGATGCCCTGACGGACGACTCCATGTCGATGACGGACAGCAGCGTGTGAGTACCTGGTGCTGGCCACGTTTTGGGATGGGACACCTGCAAATCAGCTCTGTGGGGTTTAGGGGAGTGATGGGCATCACCCTGCTCGACCCAAAGGGGGTGTGTGCCCCAGCCAGGGCATGGCAGCCTTTCTCTCTTGCGCCGTCACCGCAGGTAGTGGATGCAGGGAAATCGGGAATCCCTCTCTTGCCGTTTTGCAACTGCAGCTGAGCAAACATGTTCTGCCCTGCCTCGTGGTGCTGCCTGACTAACCCAAGGAGTGAATGAATCTCCCTGAGCCTTTGTCTTAAGGCCAGGCTCCCTTAACTAGTTATCAGTCATCAAAGAGGAGATTACTTCCTGTAGGAAGTACTTTCTGTAATTAACGTTTGTCATTAGTGTCAGAATGTACATTAATAGGGCCAGTGACCCGAAGGGGCAAATAGCTGCTCATCTAGTGTGGCTGGGGCAGTCTTCAAAGAGCCATTTGGATGGAGCTGTATGGATCAGGTGTGGGTGTTTCAGGAGCATACAGGCATGAGAGATGATGCTGTGGCTGAGCCCAGGAATTGCAGGATCTGTCTTCTCCTGGCTGCTGAGGAGTGTGCAGCTGGCAGCAAGGTTTGACTGTCAGTTTGCTTCTCCAGCAGGGCAGAAATGGTGCTTTTCTTTCTGTAGAGAGGACAGTGAGGCTCACTTAGTGCTCCTAAGGACCATTTTCTTCAGCTGAGCAGAAGGCAGATGTTGCTGTTTGTGTTTCATGGTCTTCACTTAAGTGCTGTAGAAGAGCCCACGTGTAAGCAGAATGCTGCATTGCTGGTCTTTCATCTTGAAACTTCCTCAGTGTCTCTGTCAGACATGTCCAGTGGTCCCTGTGTGCTCCTCAGAGAGATTTTCATGCTGGGTTTTTGAAGTCAACATGCGTGAAGATGCACAACGGAAAACAGGATTTACCAAAAATCCTCGATGCATAAACAAAAAGCCCCTTTTTATTTTTTTTTTAATGCACATGTGTGTTTTGAACTGATATTACGGGAAAAAAAAATAGTTTGTTGTCCCAGCAGATTCCCTTATTGAACAATATTGGCATTAAATAAAAGAGCTGAATCATAGGGTGACTTCTTTATTTCTTCTTGCTGGCTCTGGTTGTATGTGATCATGTGTCAACAGAGCATTCATTGGGTTAGTCATTTCTGGACCAGTGTAGGGTCACTTGGGATTCACAGGGCTAGGATTATACCCTCTCTTCACAGCAATGCCAATTGTAGGCCTTATACAGATGAGAGCACTGAGTGAGAAATAAAGTGCATGGTGGATGAAAGGCTTAACTGAATCGCTTTCAGCCCATTGTTAGTCCAGGGGAGCTTAGCGGGGATGAGAGGGCAGCAGCCCGCTTTGAAATTTGCTTGAACAAGTGAATAGGAGCTCCCCATAAAGCAGCGCCTGAAAGGAGCTGCCTGTTTTTTCCTGCTGTAACAATGGCCCGCGCAGGCTGTGAGAGTTTGGGGAAGCTTGGCTGGTGAAGCTGCCCGCAGCTCCGGGCTGGGGGCGCGGGCAGCCGGGGCTGGCACAGGGGCAGGTTTCCTGTGCCATGCTCCGGGCTGGCAGCACCCTGCGGCTTTCTGCAGCTGGGAGAGGTAAACTGGCACTTCTGGAGGCTGGGCTTAAAGGTGAGGCTGCTGCAAAACTTCCTTTGCAGAGGAGGAGGGCTGCTGGCAGCATCTCTGGAGCAGTTGGGATTTTTGGGTGCTCCTGGCATGGGCTCTGCTGGAAGCTGGAGGTGGTGGGGGCACAGATCCTCCCTGGCTGAGCCCAGGTGCTCAGCCTGTCAGGTTTTATCCCCCTGGAATGGGGGCCTTGTTCTGTTCCAGCAGTGTGAATGCAAATTAGTTCTTTTGGCTCATATTGGTATCAACTGAAGAGGAAAAACTTGTTCTGGAAAAGTCTGTCAGACACAGCAGTAAAGTGAGTTTGGAGCTTTTTTTTTTTTCAAATCTTAAGTCTGAACTGCACTGGGATTAGGAGAAATCTCCAAATAATGTGTAATCTGCCTTTTTTATTTTATTCCAGAAGCCAGGGATTGGTCTGTCCCTATATATTTTGTAGTAGCCACAATGCATCATGCAAATTTCTATTTCCATTTCTTGATTGGGGGGGGGCAGGGGGGGAGGAAAGGGGATATTTTTTTTTTATTTGCTTATATCTTATTTATGGATTTACTTTGGACACAGGGGAATGCTGCTGAGCAAACTTCAAATATTACCTTATCTTACAAACCAGGCTTTTGATGTTGGCAAGATCAGAGGCTTGTTTCAGAGCCGTTGCCAAATGAAGATGGGAGTGAATGCATATGCGCATGAGTCTGATATTTCAAAGCAGCAGTAAAACTACATTCAGGTTAGGTCAGGCACATCTGAGTCAAAAGGCTAAGATAATTGGCTCAGCTTAAATGGCAGCTGACTGGGTAGAAGACTTCAAACTAGTGTTTCCCTCAGAAACAGATTGGCTTAGCCCCAGCCTGGTTAGCTGAAATGTTTATAATTAAATTCTACTATTTAGTGCCTCAACTCTGTAGCTCTTCAGCCCGCAGCTTTTAGTAGCCAAGAAAGTGAGTGCAAGTGCTGGCTTTTGGAGCAGGGGAGAGGTGGCACCTGGAGAGCTGGGGTTAACCCTTGGCCTGCCCCGAAACCTCAGGTCAAGTTCAGCCCTTTCATTTCCAAGGAACTTTCCCCTGCTCAGCATTAGGGCTCCCTCTGCCCCCCGTATCTCTTGCTGGTGGCTCCAGCTCCATCCATCTGTCCCTTCTGCAGTCAGGGCTCACTTGGTCACCCCTTCAACCCTGGCCTTGTCCATTTTCCCCCTGTTTTCCAGGAAGGGGTTTAGACAGCTCTCAGCAAAGTGGCTGCTGCAGTCCCTTCCCATTCCCCAGACCGACTTTCCCAAGCTGCTGCACAGCCTTCCCATCCTGGAGAAATACCTCTGGGATTTTTTCTTTTTTTTTTTTAAATTCTGCACGTTGTTACAAGTTGCAGAGCTCTTCTGCCAGGGCAGGGCTGTGGAAGCAGGGAGCTGAAGGTTTGATGTGGGGCTCTCTGCTGTAACCAGAGGAATTTTAGGGGGAAGGAGCAGTTCGTGTATCAACCTGAATCAGAACAAATAGTGAAGTGAGGAGCCCATGCTGTTGGGTGAGTGTTGCTTTTCCTCCTCCTTTACAAGTGAAGTCCAAACTCCTGCTCCATAGCCTGCCCCAGGACTGTCCCTTTGGGCAGAGATGATCCTTGTGGAGCTGGGAACTTGGGGGTACCCCACAAGGAGATGTGTGCCACAGCAGAGGGGCTGGGGACAGCACCTAGTGCTGGCAGAGGAGGAGGGAGGTGGGGAATGCAGGAGGGCTGCAGGACTGCCTGGTTGTATCCCTGTGGTGGACACACATTCCTTCAGCTGCTTCCCTGCTCCTCCCCATCTGGCCTCCTGGACTTCATGGACAGAGGACATCTCCTTTTCCACTGAGTGTGCTCATGGGATTCATCCCCTGGGTTCATATGCTCCTGCTGGCATTTTTACTTCCCTTTGAAATGCCTGTTTTACTGGGCATTCTCTGTGCTGAAGGTCTTCCCTAAGAGACCCTTGTCTGGGGAAGCCCCAGTTAACAAACACACCTCTGAAGGTGCAGGTGGTTTTGTCTGCACCTTAGATTTGCTTTTCCCCCATCCTCCCCTAAAACTAAGACATGTCATGTGCCCCCAGCCCCTTTGCCCCGTGGGTTTATGGAGCAGAAATGCTTCACAGGGAGGTGCTTGGTGGCCACCAGTGGCTGTGTTGGCTGTTCTGTGCTGGGCTGCTCCTCCAGAAAGCTCCTGGAGCCCCATGTTGTGCAGTGGGGGTATTGGACAATCAGCTGCTTTCATTTTCCTTGTCACTTGTGCTCAAAAATTGTATTTAGAAGAGGTGCTCACCTTGGGGCCTCAAGGGCCTCCCAGCATGCTCATTTTTATTATCAAGATTTTTCCAAGTTTATTAAGATGGGATTGTTCTCATCCTTCATTCCAGGTTTTGCAGCTTAGTCTTGCTTATTAATGGCAGCTGAAGGCTTTGGCCAAGATCTTCACAAAGCTCTGCCATCCCCTGCTTGGAGCTTTGTGTGGTGGCATCTGATCATCCTCCTCCAGGGGAGGGACATGGTGCCTCTGGGAAGGTGTTCTGGTGTCTGCCCACCATCCCTGTGGCCACGGGAGGGGACAGGCAGGGACACTGTGCCACGCTGGCTCCTGTGGCAGCAGCGTGGGGCCAGCACTGTCTGCTCCTCTTTGGGCTGGAGTTATTTTCTCCTCTCAGGAGATGAGTCAGGTGTGGGGGCAGGTGGATGAAAGGGATGGCTCCGGAGATCAAGGTTCTTCAGGCAGTCTGAGGGAAGTGGTGGAATTAGACATTCAGGATCTCCAGGCGTGCTCTTCCGGCTGGCCCCGCTGTCTGTGGAAGGCCCTTTCATCCTCACTGGGGTAATTTTTTGTGTGGCCGGGTAAAGATGCCTGGAGTGGGACGTGCAGGGGGCTGTTCCCACTGGGTGCCTTGAGCTCCTGGCCTGGTCTCTCCTCGTGGCTTCCTGGCAGGAGCTGGGGTGGCTGTGGGCAGCAGTGTCCTGTCCAGAGGACAGGCCATGGCCGTGTTCATGCCCCGAGGTGTCCTGTACTGGCCAGCCTCAGGGCAGGGGAAACATCCTGGATCTTGAATGGGACTAGAGGTGGGGAGTAGCCTCTGGATGGCCATCCATCCTCAGCCTCGTCCTTCCACTGTGCCAGCAGTTCATGGGGTGTTCCAAGCTTGAGGAACATTGTGGTCCTAGAGAGCGTAGTTGGATGGGGAAAAATGTGAAATTAAAGGTCAGAAGCAGAAACGTGGTGTTGGAAGGGCCTTGGAAGTGAAGCTGATGGGATCTTTGGACGTCTGCCATGTGGAGTTGCCTTCAGCTTTTCAGCCTTTGCTTAATTACTGCACATCCATGTGCATCCTTTGGTGACACAGGCACTTCCCACACCGCCGGATATTTGAGGCTTCGGGTGGCATCCAGAGGGCTCAGCACCTCTGGGAACGAGGGCCTGCGGCTGCCTGGGTGGTTCCAGAGGGGATGGAGAAGTGTCTCAGGGCATGGGGACAGCCCCAGCTGACGGTGGCCTCTCTTCCATGTGCAGAGATGGGATCCCCCCGTACAGAATTGGGAGCAAGAAGCAGCTCCAGCGGGAAATGCACCGGAGCGTCAAGGCCAACGGACAAGTTTCTCTACCTCATTTTCCGGTGAGTCCAGGAGGGAGCTGCAGGGTCTGGGTGGGCTGTGGGAAGTGCTAGGGCTGGGGACAGGCACACGTGGAGGGAAGGGAGCAGGGGAGGAGAGCGTTCCCACCCCAGGCTGGTGCCAGAGGAGAGGTGCTGCTGGGTGTTGGGCCGTGTGCTCTCAGCATCGTTCCAAAGCCCTGCTTGTGCATGGGCACATCTTGGTCCCTCCTGAAACCACCTGCTCATTAGGAGTTTTCAGGGGTGCTGAGTTTGTCCTGTTGGTTAAACCCCAAGTGGAGATGTCCCAGTTGGGTGTAGTGGGAGCCTTGGCTCTGGCTGCCACCCTGACACTGCTGTGGTGCTGGTCCTCGTGCGCATCGCTGCGAGAGCTGTGTGTGTGAGCTGGGGGCCAGCAGGAGCTCCCAGAAGAGAGAGCTGGCAGCAGATCCCTGCCTGGCTTTGTGGGGTTCTGATGCACAGTGCTGCCCTGCTCTTCAAAATTAACTCACTGACTTGCTAATTCAGTTGACTTGCAGCCTCTCGATTCCTGCAGTGAATAAACTGTTTACACAGACAAGTGTAAACTTATCTTGTCTTGAGGTTAATATGGTAAAATTCCTTTTTCTGCTGTCTTAAGCAGCAAGAAGTCATAGATGATATTTCTGGTGGAAGGTCGGGGGGTGGTTTATGTGGTTTTTCTTTTTGGTATTTTTTTTTCTCCTTCCTTCCTAAAGAAAGTTCTATAGCCTCAGCTTGTAAATTAGATTATTTTGTCCCAGGGCGTGCAAATCGACTTTCTCTGTAAGGCAGTGCTTTGATCAGGGACTGAATAGAGCCAGCTTGTGTAAGAGTGACAATTTCCAGCAGAGTGGCCTTTTTCTACCCTCACATCATTTCTGGAGCTAAGTGGTTGCCGGAGAGAGGCCCCACCTCATCTGGTGGGTAGTATGTGAAAGAGTTGGCAGTTCAGCTTTCTGCTTTCGAGGGGGGGAGAAAGAGAGAGAGTGGGGGTGAGGAGTGGGGTGTGTGGGGATGGCAGGAGGGAGGGCAGAGTCAAGTGGGTGGTTTCTTTTTCCTTTTTTTTTTTCCTTTCCTCCCCTTTTCCTGCCATGTTTGCTTCTTTTGGCAGAAATTCGCGTTTTGCCTTTTTATATTCTGCACTTGATTTGGAGATGTTCCCTTTTTCCCTTGATAGATCTGCTTGAGGCAGCCAAGCTCAGCAGTGTAGCACCGCTAGCCTGCAGCAGCTTTCTTCATTTTCTGTACAAAGAGATGGAGGGGGGGGAAGAGATCTAGGACACTGTTGAGACAACACTACCTCAAAGGTGCCCAGTGTGTAGCCAGGAAATAAATTACCAGCACTTCTCTGATCTGCAACCGTTTGACTTCTTTTTTTTTTTTTTTTTTTTTTTTCACACCCACTTTATTTTTTTTTTCTTTTTTTTTTTTTTTTTCTTCTCAGAGGTTTTTTTTTTTTTTTTTTGCCTTCATTAATATTACCAGGATTTATATTATGGCAGTGGCTAAAAATACCAGGTAAATACATAAATCAATGCATGCTGTGTAGTAAACAGAAAAATGTATTCCATATGCAGATTTAACCTGAAATAAGAAAATCTGTTTTATCTTTGATCTTGCTGTTGTTTGGTGTGTGTGCATACGTAATCCAGTCTTGATGGGCTTGCAGATGTATTATCAAATGAGAAAACAAGCAAACAATGAAAAAGAGAGAGAATTTTATTATTTATTTCATTTTTCAGACAGGAAATTAAAGAAATGGAAATATATGGAAGAATTGGACCCCTGGTGAGGTTTTTAGATGTCTACCCAGTGACCCTAATCACAAGACTTCCTTACTTCTCAGATATAATTATTACTATTTCCATCACGTATACTTTGGAAAGTTTTTTTCTTGTTTCCATATGAAATACTTATTTTCTAGCCCTGAACTTTCCTTTTAAGCAAAATCAATGTAAAGCTATTGTTGGTTTTACAAATGCCTGGGAGAATTATTACCATCATAGGCAGCAATAAAAGATATACTTTTCCCCTTGGTAGATTGAATTACTGAGAAATAACATTATAATTACTGTATAAAACACACTGTTTTAACACTGTTTTTAATATCCATAAAGTTTCTGATTTATTTTTCACATGCCAGCATCAATGCACTAGATTTTTCATAGGTCTAAACTGGTGCAATTACACTGACCTCTGTGGGACTCCACCTGTTGCATTGATGGCTTTTAAGAGCAACATTATTTTTGGATGAGTATTAGGAAATAAGAGAGAGAGAGAGAGAGAGAGATCTGATTTCATGGACATTGATTTAAATAAGGAATGCATTTTCTTGAAATCAAAGGAAATATTTTGATATGCTAGCTGTATTGAGGTAAATCTGCTTTAAATTGGGTCTTTTTCAGACCAGTGGGGAAAATAAGCCTTCTGATATTCCCTAGTATGGGATTAACAACTGGAAATGCCAGGGAAACATGGCATATGTATAGGTGAACATGGCAAATAGACCTTTGTCCCTCTCTCTGTGAATATCTTGATTCAGATGTCTTAGCAACCTGAAATGCTCAGCAGTCTTGTAGTCTTCAGAAAAAGAAAGGAAACCCCCTTTTAGCACACTCAGGTTGCTTTCTTG